TCATTACTACATAGATAGATAGCAATAAGACAGTCCAAAACCAGGATGTGAAGTGGAATGGCATTAATACAAACATCAGGCAAGACATCGACTCGAAGTAAGTCAAGATTCCAAACACTATAAACTACTATCAGAAGTTTTCCAAAAACAATCAGGTACATTTTCTTTCCCTGAGATAGAATATACAATACGACCCTAAGTAATTCAGGAGTTGAAATAGTCTGAGCTGCAAACACAAACATGTGGAGCTTTGGGGAAAGTACATTGATCCTGAAGACCAGAATTATGACAATGAAGACTGTGAGAGGGAGAAAGGCAAAGACTATGTAGAGTCCCCAGTTTTCCATTTCACTGTCACATCTGATGCATTTAAGCGCATAGGAAAATGCTGGCACAGTGTAGCCATCCAGATACTGTCCACAGAGTGTTCCTTGTCTGTTCAGACCTGCACAGTCAGATGGTGCACCATGATACATGATGTCTTTAGACCATGTATGGTTGGCACAATTAAAAATGCAACTTCCAACTAGTGACAGTTCTGTTCCATGTTTGGTATAATGAATTGTTAGGCAGTGGCAGTCAATGACAGACAACTCTTTAGTGACTGCGTTACACTGAACAACTCCACCAATATCATCTCCACAATGACATGACTTGGTTTGGTTATCCCATACAAACCATAAATTAGAACATGTTTGCTCATTCACATCATCTTGGGGGATAATACTATTCACTGAACTGAGATTTGGTACTCCTCTAAGGTTTTGGTCCCTGCTCTGTTGCTGCTTCGATACGTTTTCTTCGAAAAAGTCATTACCACTTCCAAAGTTGTTCTCCTGTCTTTTACTGATAGTATCAATTTCAATTATGACAATAAACAGTAGTGTAAGGGTAAACAACTTCATTACTAGCTGTTCTACAAAGCTGAACATAAAGCAATGAGTGATCGAGGCTGTAAAATTCCCACAAAATGGTGAACATGTCGTATGTAAACATCTAGCATGCAATATCCATCTGTCGTTGTTTTGAATACCACAAGAACATGAACATTTTTGATATGGAAACAGAAGCAACCAAGTATTCTTTAGGCATACTTTCTTACATGTGGATCTAAAGATTGTGTGGGTGAATGATATGCACACGGAATAGCCAAGCCTTTGACGTCATTCGTCAACCTAAACACATAACGTATAGTTTGGGCAGCAAACTGTTACACAAGGGATACAAAGCATTGATACTGTGCAGAAGATTTATGTGGTACTTAGCTGGTAAGAGTGTTCCTGTGGTTCAGACTTGGCCTGTCAGAGAAGGTGCACCATAACACATCATTCCCTGGTTATTCTGTTTCAACACTTGGGGCGTATCTATTATCTACACCTGTAGTTTGTGTGTTTAGTGCCTTCTGAAGGCTTAGCTATGTGCTTTTGCTGAGTTTGTAGACTTTTTGTATGCAGATTGCATGATATTTCAACTGTGCCATCCCTAGTGTCATAAATACATCTGCACACTGATAGGATATTGAGAGACTCTAGGGCCATGTTTAGGTCAAAACATGTAAACCTCAATGGAGTGAATATTATGACACTGACTGATACCAAACAGCTCTCTGTCCCAGTTACCAAACAAGGACACAAACCTTTCAGAATTAGAGCATCATTATAGGGTTAATGATTGTGCTAGCTCTCCATGCAAGATTCTACTCATAATTAATTTTTATGTCATCACATTGTTTTTCTTCTTCAGTAAACGTACTAAACACTGAGCAACAGGTTCTTGTAACGACAGAGACGTGGATTAGCTCAGACACTGGCTGGTATATTTAACTCTGAATTGCCAGTTAGACTTGGCTACTTATTAACCTAAGCAGGTTGGCCCTAAACACTAGGAATTTTAGCTCATTTCTCTCTTTTCTTAAAGTATGAACGGTCTAGGATAAGATAAAGCTGAATGCCTCATCATCTCCACCAACAATGCTCTTTGTCACAAAAAGTACCTTCTAAAAGACGCGCATAGAGAAACTGTTGATTGTACAAAAAGCAACATGCAGTCACAGCCATATGTCCAGGGTCAGAATAACCATTTCGGCCGGATCCACACACTGCAAAGAAAAACAGTCATCTCAAAACATGTTGTGTTTTTAAGCCCTATGTACACAACAAGCCAGTTGTTTGTGCCTGCTTTCAAGGGGACATATATAAGTACATGTCCCTCTCATATATACCTTTCCTGCATAATCGAAAAGGAACAATAAAACGCACCAAGCTAGACAAGTGAGCGGCAGAGTGGGTATGTGGATAGTCAAAAGCTCTCTGGTTGGCTTATACATATGTATAGTTTGCACCATGTAACTTAGTAATAAGCTCTATGAGTCTCAGTTCCTTTATCAAGGAAGAGCAATGTGTGGTAAGAAAACAAGTACAGTGAGACTTTCCTAGATTTCGCCTTACGAAAGTAGAGGATTAAACAGGCTGCAAATTCTCTCCTAAGGCAAAGAGCTGAATGCTTGCCACAAAGAGTACAAAGCAAAAAAAGAAACTTGAATGCAAAACGCTCTGCAAAACAGCGTTTTTGGAATCGGGCCTATTACATTCCACATCAGAGCACCAATATTAAATTGAAGCCAGGTTCGAGATCCTACGGTGGAAACAATTTTTTAACGTTACTGACATGACATGAGTAAGTGAGACCAAGTTAAAAATGCTTGGGTACAGGTCACAAAAACATAATAAATTTACCAATGCCATCACACAGTGTTGAAGGCATAATGCATTATGAAGACTGTCCACAGTGTGCTGAAATTGTAGCTATGTAGCCACAAGTGTCTCTGTACTGGTCGGGGTGCAGCAGACGATGTGGCAGTGAGCTGGTGAGTCCATCCCCTGCTTTCTGTCCTCGGAATCTCATGATCAGGTGGTGTAGGATGACTAATGTGATGTAGACAAGAGGCAAAATGCCGAGAAAAGCAACACTTAATATCCAATGGTCATTATATTCTGCTTCGAAAATGGGTGCTGCAGCCTTGCCCATTGTCAATGTGAAAATCAGTGCAGCACAGAGGTAAAGGTCTGCAGTTATTCCATTGAACACTCTATACTCCTCCTTGTAAGGTTCTACTATCACAGCAGTGATAGCAGCAATTAAACTAACGAGTGTGACGAGTATAAACGACACACCACCAAGGGATAGTGCGTAAGCAAGGTAGGCAAATAATTTGAAGAGAATAAAGAACCCGGCAAACCACCTGCAATCCCACGTACCATCACTGCCATCTTTGTAGTACTTCTGAAATGCATTTACAAACCTGTCTAATGCCGTCTCCTTTTTCATAAACTTTTTCAGACATTTGCGATAAAACTTGCATTGGTAACAGAGTAACAGAGACGTTGGGAAAACAATGAAGACAATCAGGATACTAATGGCCAACAGTGCATATGGCAGGTGTTCTCTACCAAAGTATTCAATGCTGGGGTCATAGTACAAGTTAAACGACGACAACTTTCCATCACTTGAGAAAATTGGTACAGCAATCAAAAGATCAAATGACACACTCAACAGTTTAGTGGTGGAAAGGAAGAAGAATGTGACAAAGGCATCCATAATGGTGGTCGGTATACCCCAGTGACGACGAAATCGAGCAAAGAAATAGTGAAAGGGCTTCCACATGTACAGCAATGGTCTAAAACCAAAGCCATACAATTCAACCATAACGTATAAAACAGCCATTAAGAGCATAGGATAGATAGCTACGAGAGTGTCCAATACATGCTCGCCGAGGGTTAACGAAGGTTAAGATAGTGCATAGATAGGGGCGTCCACTGCAATTGATGACAGTCTATTTTACGGCTCAGTATCAACCTAGCAACCATAAACACTCTCAAGTGTAGTTTCTATAATGCTTACATGGTGGTTGTCTTGTTTGCCTTGCCTTGCCCTTCTACCTCATTACCAACTTGTTGAGACATGGTAATAGCATACTTAAAAGCTAATCACTAAGCGATTTTTTTAATGGATTAACGTAAACAGAGCTCAGGATGTTTGTGTCGGTTAAGAAAATGTTCCGTAGTTAGAGCAGCAGAAGTCTGTTAGCCACACACTCTACTACTGAAAGGTTTAAGGGAATGTGGAAGTGTTGTACAGGGGTTAAATATGTTTTAAAAATGTTACTAAAAACGGAAACATAATTGCATTCTTGTACTCGTCTCATAATTATAGTAACTTTAGACTTTATGTACTGTCACATTCAGGTAACCCACATTCACTTTAACAAAAAGCAGTAATGGATCACACCTGGCTCCCACAGAGATCTAAATATACACTCTCTCTCCCTCTGACCTCAGTGACTCTGTCTTCCTGTTCCTGGACGGTGCAGGCCACGTAGACAGAGAGCTCGTCTCTCACCTCGGCTGCCTCCTCGCTCCGGTCCACGGACTCTGTCCTCTGGGCCAGGGAGTCCAGGAGAGAGCGGGACTTCTGGACCCAGTTACTACCCTGCGAACAGACACAGTGGGGCGAACAGTGGGTGTGAGCATGTGAGAAATGTAGGTTAGAATCTGGCATATCACAGTGCGAGTCTTCTAGACACAGTTACTGCCCTGGACACGAACGACGTCAGAACATTCAAATGCAGTACCTGTTTTTTTTTGTAAGTGCTGTGTGTGTATCAGGTTCGAATCTGGTAGCTATGCAGGTTATTGTTATAAAGTGCTCAGATATCTACTCGCTCCTGCAGTGTGGTTATAAGCAGAGGCCCTGCTGTTTTTACATTAGGCATTCCAGGGTCACTAACAGAGGGAGCACTGTGAGCATGTTGAAACTGTTTAATCTATTTTGGGGGTTTCCCCTCAATAACATTAGGGGGTGATCATAGCCCCCGTAATGCCCCTACACTGATACTGCCCATACAGCTCGCTCACCCTCTCCATTCCCTTGTAGAAGCTGACTCCAGACCTCGCCACCCGGACCCTCTCGCCGATTGCTCTACTGGCGAGCTCCTTCTTCTCCCTGAGGCAGCGAGACAGGAGCCCCAGCAGGGTAGCCTCGTAGTGTTCCTTGCATCCGTCCACCTGCTCTCCAAACACATCCACATCCTTACACAGAGCCTGTTGAAAGTGGACAGTGCATAGAGAGAGTGTAAGAACAGGCACGGATGGAGTAGTATGGTGTGAGGAGGTTGTTGCATTTCGTAAAAAAATTCTTTTAGTTCTGGTTTTACGAGACATTCTCAAAACCCTGAAAAGGGAATTTTAATGCTTTCTAAATACAGGTAATGGAGTCTCTAGTTGTTCTCAGGGTGCCTTTCGTGGGGCAAATTGTCCTTCCTTAAAAAGTGCCTCTAGTGAGGTTGTTCTCAGTGTATCTCTGGAGAGTGGAATTGGCCGATGTGAGGGAGTGGCCGATGGGTGGGAGCTGGGCGGTGCTGGAGGTCAGAGTTGAGAGTGCAGAGGTCAGACTCTGGCAGTGGTGACGGAGGAGGTGAAAGGTGAGACATTCTCGGCACTTGGAGAGTTGGGGGACAGCGATACCGTCCAAGGCTCTCCTCGCTGCCGAGATATTTGACTCCAGACCCGATATCGTCGTGGTGACAAATGCAAAGGCAACTACACCCAGGACAACTATTTCATTCGAGGAAAGAAGAGCTGCCCTGGGTGGGATTCGAACCCACGGCACTCTGCAGTCTAGCCAGGTCCCATGGGCAGACCTTTACTCAAAGACAACTTGCACTGCACAAACACGTTTGCTTGGCCAGTAGGTGGCACTCAATACAAGGTTACACTTACTAGTTTAATCAACAACACAAGACAAAAGGAAACCACTGCGCTATGGCCGTGTATACTCTCTCACTCTGCATGAATAGTATCATACCCAGCCAGTAGGGTGTCACTGGTCTCAATGAGCTGGTTGTACTGGCTCTGGACAGAGTCCAGCTGGAGCTGAGCATCCACAGTGTTGGCAGCCGGCACCCACTCCTTCCCCTCCTCCTCGGTACACCACAACTCCACCGCCGTCACAAACTGCGGTCGGGATGTAGGACAGAGAGAGAGGAGAGAAGATATTGAGGAAGAAGAAGAAGAAGACGGAAGTCAAGAAGAGGTTGCAGGAATCCAACAGTTGCTCAATGTAAGGATAAAAAGCTGTGTCAGGCTGAAACTGCCCTCTTGGTACACAAACAACATGCTGCAATGCATTACGACACTTTTGGCATTTGCGGGTGACTAGTATAGACTAGTGCCTGACCATCAGTTACGTCACTATTTCTTATTGGCAATGATATGCAGCCCATGTAGCGTTAGTCTCGTATTGTCATATTGTCATGCATGTTACCACAACGGTCGGCAATGCTACTGGTGTAGAGTCTGGTGAATGTACAAAGACCTTCTCAGTGTCCTTGTGGAGTCTGTCTAGTTGGAGGGAGAGGCTCCATCGTCTGTGTCTCCTCATACACACTTCATCCACCTTTTCTTTCTCCTCCTTCAACTCCACTAGTACCTGCTGTACTGACCTGCGAGAGAGAGAGGAGAGGGGGGAGGGGGAGGAAGTAAGAGGAAAAAGAGAAGGAGGGAGGGGGAGAGAGAGGGTTAAAAAAGAAAAGAAGGAGAGAGGAAGAGGAGGGAGGGGAGGGAAGGTTTAGAGTAAAAGGAGGAGTGAGGGGGAGGTAGAGGGTTAAAAATGAAAAAAGGAGAGAGGAAGAGGAGGGAGGGGAGGGAAGGTTTAGAGTAAAAGGAGGAGTGAGGGGGAGAGAGACGGTTAAAATGAAAAGAAGGAGAGACGAAGAGGAAGAGGAGGGGGGGAGGGGTTAGAGTAAAGGAAAAGGAGAGAGGGGGAGAAAGGAGGAGAAAGTAGGAGAAGAGGAGGAGGTGGGGGGTTAAAGGAAAGGGAGGCTTACAAAAAAAAAATGAGAGGAAGAGGAGAGTTGGGGGAGGTTAGAGGAAAAGGAGAGAGTGGAGACAGAGGGTTAAAAAAGAAAAGAAAAGAGAGAGAGAGAGAGAGTAAGAGAAGGATGGGGGAGAGGATTAGGGAAGAGGGAGGGTTACAAAGAAGAAGATCTCCTAACCTGATGGTGTTGGTGTGCTGACAGGATGACCAGCGTCCTGGAGCTCCGCA